ATTCAACGGTAAGACCTTGTCGTCACCAGATTTAGGCCTACATTACCGCTGAAAAGTCTGTCACCGAATTCGAGCTCACCCACACACACCCTCACCCCTTCGAATTTGGCGTCAGACCCCACCGTTGACGACCATTCCCACTGTCAACACACACCAACCGTCACACTTGGCTCGGCTAGAGTCCAATATCCGTCACAATTGTATTCACTAAAGGTTACAAATATTAAATCACAATAAATTATTTTTTGTTGTTGTTTCAAATAAATAATTAATATAAATCCCATACAAGTAAATTCATTAAATATTTATTATATTCTTGCAAGTTTTCATTAATTATATTACAACATCACAAACAAAAGATGATACAAACATCATAAGCATAATGATACAAATAGCTACTACTATTATATGATTATTATTTTATTGAATCATTTGTAGTAATTGAAAATAATGTTAAACTCGTTCACAGGTATTTCATAGCATTTGATATAAAAATCACAAAAAATAGTGTTTTTTTAATTTCATGCCTTTAAATACATGTTTCAATGTTTATGTTTAATTCCGTAAATGAGATGTAGCATTATTTTCAAATACTATGTATGATTCAAAATATTACAAATCATATGTTGATAATACAGTATAAATGTTGTAAAACACGGTTGAAATTAACTATTTTTATCTACATTTTTAAATAAAAATCTATATTTCTTTATAATAAAAATTTTAATTGTAATTAATATAAACACAATTTCATAAATGAAACATTTAAATTTTAAAAAATAATTATATTTGTCAATCTCATTTAAATGATTATCAAAAAATATTTAGTATACATTAAAACATAATTGATATCTTATATTTATGGTAAAATTCTGAGAAAATATAAAATAATGTAACAGTAAATTATATTATTTTTTAGAAAGTTGTGTTTATAAAATAAAAATATGTTTATTGCCATGATTAATTTTGATAAACATTTAGCTTATACATATAACACTTGTTGGCGCAATAGCTACTAAATATGATCATATTTTATTGTTAGATATTTTGAAAGACTATGTGTTGACTATAAGACTATCTGCCAGACAGTGATATAACATGCAATAAATATTATATGCTATAGTTTAATTAGTTAATTTAATACCATGTTTATTATGTAATCAGTTTGTTGTGTAATTTTAATGCACAAGTAATAATTTAATTTAAAATTGTTGCAGTAAACTTTTTTAAAATCAGTTTACTTTGGAAAATATTTTATAATTAACAAAATTAATTGCCGTATTAATCAACAACTCAGATTAATAATATTTGCATAATTTAAAATATAATGAAATGTTTTCAAAAATTGTAATCAAAGTACAATAATTATTAAATATTTGTAAATAATATGTTAAATGATAATATGAAATATTATTCTGTTTGATACTATTTATTGTATTCAATTATCTTAATATTACATGATAATTTATATTGGTCTATTAATAAACTAAAAACATGTTATGATATTTTTAATACTGTCGTTAAATGTACTAGTTTAACGATATATTTGCATAGATATTATCACAATAACAAGTAAAAGAATTTATATTATATAAAACACTGATATTTAATTATAAAGGAGTAGAAAATATTCTTATTTAAGAAAAATCATTGTTAAATAAATATTTTACTTAAGTTAAGTTAAAACTTGTTAAATAAACATGTTCATAACAATTATTTTACAATTAGTTATATGCGTTTATGTAAATGCAGTGCCCCTGACAAATCTAACACGTACATGTATGTATAAAATACAATTCATTTATAATTCTATACACTATAAATTAATTAAATTATTAATCTAGCAATGAATCCAGATGGTCCATGCAGATGCACCATCAATGGTACTCACTGTGGCTACCGGGCCAACGAGGACATCTCCGCGGTCACAAACCAGGCTCCGTTGACGGGTCAGTGCAAGCCTAAGGGGCTGTATAATTGTGCGGCTGCGGACACTGCGGCCAATCTATATACAGAATGCGCTTATTGTGAAGGCATATACCAAGTGTACGGCAAAGACAAGTGCGATAACAACGGCGGTTGTCTGTGTACGGGTAAAGCGGGAATGTTTTGCTACGACAAAAACATGAATTCAAACAACGGGCTCGAAGAAAAGTGTCGGAGTAGTTCAATGTACCGGTGCTTTGGCACCAGTGGCCACCTGGCACAATACGTGCTACATTGTCATAATTGCACCAATAGCAACGACCAAGCTTTTTGCGGTAAGTATGAATCATACGAGACGTAGACATTTGCTCGAAAGTCACTTGCTCGAAGGACACTTGCTCGAAAATCACTTGCTCGAAAGTCATTTACTCGAACCCCACATGCTTGAAAGTCACTTGCTCGAAGACACTTGCTCAAATACCCTTGCTCGAAAATTTATAAATGTCATTTTTATCATAATAATTATTGTAAAACAACAATTACAAACAATAATTGTAAGTTTATTGCAATCAAATTAGTTTTTACTATATAAAATGTGCATAAAACATCAAATAATTAATAGATTTATTTATTTACGTTACAAAATGTTCAATATTTATTAAAATATTATAATAAGTTTATATTTTTGCAATACATATAATATTAAGTGTGTTTAACAATAATTATTTCATTGAAAATGATATTTATAAATTTTCAAGCAAGTGATTTTCGAGTAAGTGTCCTCCGAGCAAGTGATTTTTGAGCAAGTGGCTATTGAGCATGTGTTTTTCGAACAAGTGACTTTCGAGTAAATGTCACAGACCCAATCATACTGTATCATTGCACTGTTAAATTAGACTCCATAAAAATTACTCTTTGATGATGGTAGGGTTTTTATAAGTATTTGTGAATTATAGCATATTAAGATTTGTATAAAGTTTATTATTTATTTAAAATTATTAATTGATCTAGATGAAGAATGTCGATGCGGTTTGCTAATGGGTCACCACTGCGGTAACCGGGCCTACGTGGACAGTCCGGACGGCCACGTGCTGAGCGGTAATTGCACTAAAAAGGCAATATACGAGTGCAGCGAACCACGTGGTCTGGCAAAGTTGATAGAAACATGCTCGATATGCGCCGAACCCGCAAACACTTATGGAGACGATTATTGTAATAAAGACGCCCACTGTTTGTGCACTGAACGCACCGGGAGTTTGTGCTCTGCCGACAGTAATAGCAAATTAAAAGGCACCTGCAATCCAAATGCTATCTACCAGTGCAATAAAGCTAATGAAAAAGCCGTGTTTGTTCAGCATTGTCGCGAATGCTATCAAAATGAACCTGGTCTCGCAAAATGCAGTTAGTTCATATATTTTAATATGTAAATTAATGCCTAAGTATAAGTACAAAGCATAATTATTGTAATTCTAATGAATAGCTGGCACGTGCGGGTGCGGTGACGTACTAGGTCAACATTGTGGAATTAGGACAGGCGATGACGAGTTTAGCACCAAGCCCATTTTGAGCGGCAATTGTCTGCCCAATCGACTTTACAATTGTTTAGAAAGTGGTCAAAATTCACATTTTGCAAATGAGTGCAAAAAATGTTATGTTAATAACACGGTTGGTTTGGACGATTGTTACCCAGGTATAAAACATTCTTATAACTAATAAAACGTTCATAATAATGTTAAATTTTGAAATAATCAAGCTAGCAAATGTGAATGTGGTAAGCCATTGGGCAGTCACTGTGGCAGTAGAGTGGGTCAGCCAACAGAATACGGCCCACTATTAACCGGAGAGTGCGAGAAAAATGGTCTTTATATGTGCCGCGTGTCCAACACTAAAGCCCGACTCATGTCAAAGTGCGACAACTCGTGTGAACAAAATCCTGGTACTGGTAATGATTTATGCGATGACCATGGTAGTATACTGGACAACAAGCCACTAATGTACTCACTACCAGCAATATTAATTTTTGGTATTCTGGTAGTGTGTTATTTAGTTAGATACTTAATTTTAAGATACAAAAATAATAATGATGAAAAGTTAATGAAATCTATACTAAATGAAACAAATGTTATAAATGAACATGATGAGCCTGATTTTTTGCCAAACGAAGTTATAATTGTGCCTAGTGAAAAATTAATTTCATATTATGTTGACATTGAGCGTATTGGCGCTGGCACATTTGGGGAAGTTTACAAGGCCAAACATAAATTTACTTCTAAAGTATACGCTATTAAAATGACTGACCTAAGTACAATTTTTATCATTCTATAAAATATTTTACCTTTATTAATTAACATATTTTGAATTTAACTAGACACCAGATCAATTAAAGAGCTAGAGGTATTGCTATACGTTCAGAGCATTTACGTGGTTGAATATTATTCATTTTGGTCTGAAAATAATAACCTGTTCATTCAGATGGAATATTGCCAAGATACTTTGAAACATGTAATGCAATTACGCATGGGCGCTTTTGACAGGCAAAGTGGTCATCCTATGTGTATTGTTGAGTATTTTATATTTGCAGAAATTTTCCGGGAAATTCTCGAAGGCGTTCAATATTTACATACATTACAAATCCCAATAATTCACCGTGATCTAAAACCGGCAAACATTCTCATAACATATAATTACGTGAAGGAAAACCGATTTATTAAGTTATGTGATTTTGGTTTGGCCACATTTCACACCGGTAGTCAAGCAACTTATACCTCAGGTGTGGGCTCACCCGGGTATACATCCAACGAAGCTTTTGGATCAAGTTACAATACAAAACGTGATATTTATAGCCTAAGTGTAATCGGACAGAAATTATTTGAGATTGACTTTTTCGGGTAAGTCTTATTTGCTTTAATGTATATTACTTTTATAAAAACATTTTAAATATTATGTTATTTAGAAAAATTATATTATTCTTAAACTAAATGGTTTTGTAATTATTGGAAATATTTTTAGTTCGAAAACTTGTCAACAATTAAATACAAAAAGCTTTAAGAAGATATACAAAATCATTAAAAAGATGACAAACCATGTGTATAATAAACGTCCGAATTGTGACCAAATACTATCATCTGTTGAGAAATGGGCAGTCGATCGGCAACTGGTAATCAATGATGGCCACTATAAACAAACGGCATATTTACTCGAGTGCTTTGAGAATCCTTTTTTCATTGAATATTTAAAAACAAAGTTAAATCAAAATTAATTATTAAACATTGTTAATGAATAATAAACTTAAAATTATGTTTTGTAACCTTATAAATGTAATACCATAAGAATATAACGAGTTGCCGTCAATTGTTATTTGTCACATAAAATGATTGTATTTATAATAAACACATAAATTTCACGAAAAACTGAAATAAACTATGTTATCTTTGCGCATTATAACAAACTATTTAAATGTATACAGTATAATATCTAGAGCTATTTCTTAGAACTACAATCGTTAAATAAATATTCCCACAATTAATTAGTTATATGTTTAAATGTGCAATTAATAAATATAGTAAAAACCGCAATCAATTTCACCTGAAATTAAGCTTTTATTACTTTAGTCTAGATTAGGAATGTTCTATGTACGATTTAAGTTCATTTTTACTATGTAAACTTGCATGAGTTTACATTGAATCATAGGTTTTCTGGGCATTCCTAGTCTAGATGATTTATAAATTGCCTTAAGTTAATTATATTTTATACAATATATTACTTGTATTTTAATTCCGTATTATAAAAGTGAAATAACTTTATGGACATTATTATTTATCAAAACTAATCTAGGCCAAATGATTAGGTGAAATTACAATATTTATTTACTGTAAATACTAATTTCTGATTTCTCTTCTTGGAACTATAAATATTAAATAAATACTAATAATTTTAATTAGATGAAATGGGGCTATAAAAGTATATTTAATACAAGAAACTTATACAGTAATAATAAATTATAAATAAAAATTTAATATTTGTAATATTAATCTATGGTAAAATAGGAAACATCAATAAAGTTGCTTTCTTTTATTTTGTGTAATACCATGAGGATATAATATGATAACTACAGTAGGTTATTAATTCTGACAAATATATAAAGAAACTAGGTTGTTCCATATGTAAATTATAATATTTATCCAACGTGATGCACAAATAATAAATTGAAATATTTTTATTTAGATAATAAATTAATAAAATCACACGAATTAATGTAAACCATTTTGGTATATAAGTCAGAATTTTTGACACGAGTTTTCGCATTCAGTTTTACAACAATTATTAATACAATTTGTATGAAACCAATAAACCTGTTGAAAATGAATAGTAAACTCACCATCGCATTTTTAGTTGCAATTATCTGCATTAACGCTAGCCTAATATATGGCAATGATGTCGATGTAAATGCTCAAGGTAAGTAAAACTTACAACATAAAAATTTGTACCATAAACTAATTCAACTATTAATATGACCCGTCATTACAGCTAACGAGTGTGCGTGCGGTTCAGTTGCGGGCAATCTATGCGGTAGTGTTGCCAACAAACAGACGATTCACGGAATTGTATTAAAAGGCAATTGTCTGAAGAATGGCTTCTATTACTGTCCGTACAGACAGGCGAAGGCTGTGCTCTATAAGGTGTGTCCCAACTGTCACGTCAGCGCACGACCCGGTTATGATTGGTGCCAATCTGAATATATCCCAGGTTAATATAATATAACTAGTTAATTGTAAAATTAAATTACATTAATCGTGATTATATTTAATATAGACCCAGTGTTGTGCCAGTGCGGTGGTGTGGCCGGTGATCACTGTGGCGTTAGAGTCAACGTTCCCGGTGCTAATGGTGATTTAACTCTGACAGGCGAGTGCCGTAACGATGGTTACTACCACTGCAAAGCGGGTGAGGTTGGCCAGGCTCAGTTGAAGTTTGTGTGTCCCATATGTACGGTCAATGATGGCGATGGTCTCGACACTTGCGACTCCACCTTCTTTGCCAAACAGTCCCAATAAATTTAAATTATGGTTAAATTCATTAATAATTTTTTTGGTAGTATTAGTACAGTATTGTCATTTGATTATTACAAGAATGTGTTTTACTATTGCTATTCATATATAATCATAATGCTTTTTACATAATTGGCCAGTTGTAATGCAATCGATTAAAATAAAAAATAATTTAATGTATTGAAAATATTTGTTTAATTAATTTAATATAATTACAACGTTTAAAATAAGAGTATTTAATCGTAATGTAAGTTTTCTCACATCTAAATTGTGGCGTCTCTCTCTCTCTCTCTCTCTCTCTCTCTCTCTCTCTCTTCATTTAATTTATATTGAATGATACGCGTATTTATAAAGTATGTGGTAAATTTTTCAATAATTTTTATTTGCAAATATTCCCATTGGTTAAATATAATTGTATAAGACTTTTGGTGCCAACTATATAATAATGATTTGCTATTAATAGCTGTTTTAACAGAGCTCTATCTAAAATAAAACAATATGTATTTGTTAGAACTCGTACTTATTATAAAATAATAATAACAATTTAAAATGAAATAAAATTTATATAAATTACTGTAATAAAATATAGTTTAAAATTCCAAAAATAATATGTTAACTTCCAATTGTCTTAATAGTACTATACTATATAAAGTTATTTATTTTATTTAAATACAAAATATTTATAATAAACATATTTTTATAAAGTTTTATTGGAGTAATTTACAATAAATAAATAAATTAAATATTCAGATATATTAAGCATTTAGTTTATTCAAAAAGTGTGTGAAGTTTTGTTTGAATTGATAGCTATTTAATATATAGTGTAGTTTTATTTTAATTCATAACAAAATCATGTCTTTCATTAAATACAATCAAGTATTGCCTAAAGAATTGCAAATACAATCGGCAGAAAATCAATTATTTTCAATTGGATTATTACTCAATGCACCACAAATACGCTTGAAACGACCATGGTATTCTACTCCAATTCTAATAACATTTATAACCTTATTTGTTTTAATAAGTAATATAATAAATATATTAAATAATAGACACAATGAGCACTTGGTTTTAATTTGTGGCGATATATCATATATGATGGGAATCGGACATCACATCAAAATATTAATTATATTGAGTGCATGTTTAGTATTAAGCATTCAATTAATATATTTCCATAACTATATGAATGGTATTGAACCAACATTTCTTGGGGTGTTTGCTATGATGTCAGGTATGGTTACCCCCTATAGTGTCGGTCTAACGGATCCACAATCTGTCCACCGATTTATAAAAATATCTAAAACTATATTCTATATAAATATAATGATAAATAAGATGATGGTCCCATTTAATGGATTAATATGGTTAATTTCGTATTTAATGTTTCGGCCTTTAATAACCGCTTTAATCTATGGTTTGCTAAATTATTTATTATATTGTTTTATGATTTTTTATATAATGAAATTCCTTTTATGGCAATTAATATACTTTTATTTACTTTCATATTATTTAAAAATGAAATTAAATTTCACTAAAACAAAGTTATTTATAAAACCACATAATATTCAACAAATACTTAGAAAATTAAATGAGATTTACATTGAAATAAATGAATACAACACTACATATTGGTCCAAATGGCTATTTTCAATATGGTTCATATTTGGTTGTGCTATTATTATGTCAATTTACATTATAACATTAACTAATATGAATTTTATTCTAAAACTGTGCATGTTATATGCGGTAATTATTTTGGTCAATGTTTTTCTATTAATATTATTCACAGCTTCATCAGTAAATCTAATTATAAATAAATTGCACATAAATCTATCTAGTTATTTTGTAAAGAATTACAAATATATAAATAAATATTTTAATCAGTGAACTATTCATTGCAGTTATCTATGGCCTCAAGTGATGCCCAGTTTATAACCGGTACTAATCTGGTTGTAAGGGCTATAAGAGTCCAACTATAAGAGCCCCAAACTTTTAAGTCTAGACCAACACAAGCCAGATTGATATAGGGGATATTTTTAATATGACGTGGTTACTGAATCACCAAGGTGCTTTGTCAAGCATTCATTATAAACGTTACATTTAATATAGTCATCGACTGCCCTATTATTACCATAATAGTTAAGATTTAATAATATTTCAAACCCCGTTTATCATATCAGAGTACACTATATGTGACTAACATATGAATAGTGTATAAATTACAACTCAAAGGTTAGATGTGAAAAGTGCTTATAAGCAAATATTGGCTTTACTTGGTCTAGACTGAATGTTGAATAAATTTTTAAAATTAATTAATTTTTAAATTATTTTTATTAAATTAAATATTTGACATAATTTAACAAAATGTTTGCAAAATAATGTTATGAAATAATTATTTAAATAATCAGTGATTGTAATACAAGTTAAAAAGTAATTGTATTTATCTGTCAATTAAAGCATTATTTACGGCAATAAATATTAGAGATATTTTGTCCATAGATTTCAATGCTCTTGAGTTTATTAATTCTCGACAACAGATCCCAGAAATCATTATCTGAGAGTTCATTGTATTGATAGCATTGAATGACAAGCATTTGCAGCGCCGGTAGTCTTGAGATGTGAGACAAACACTCGGTGTCTATAATGCTATACAAGTCATGAATGGATAGGTATTGAAGTCGCGGACAATTATTAACCACACTTTGCAACACTTTGGCCGCTATTCCCACTGAAAACATGTCTAAATGTGTTAATCTCTTGCAGTCTCTCAACGAATCCAACGATATCTCTCTGACGGTCACATCGAGTGTTAAACCCAAACGTTTTAATCGCCGGTAATATCCCAACGAATCCAATGACTTGAGATCGGGTTCATTGACTTCCGAATAGCAATTAAGTGACAATCGTTTCAATTGTTTGCAATTCACGGCAATTGTACGCAAAGAGTCGGCCAATAAGTGCTGATCAGTGGTTAACTTCACTCCGAGTGTGAGTTCACGTAATTGTGTTAATCGCGACAATTGTCCGCACATTTCGTGTAGAGTGTCGTCAGTATTATATCTATTCATTGCGACAATACTTCTTAACGACTGATTGTGTGCCACAAATGCCGACAATCGGTGGTAATCATCGGCTGAATAGAAATATAACTCAAATTTATGCAAATTTTTAGCCAATAGTTGTCCGTAAGTGCTGTCAAAGACTTGGTCTAAATAAAAGACTTTCAATTCAGACAATCGGTGGCAATGAGAGAGCGATTGGCTTTCACTGGCATTAGTGTTCATATCGACGATTCGGGTCATCAGTGGCCACAAAGTGTTCATTTCTTGTAAACTATTTGCCCATAAATTGCAGTAAATTTCCCGCAAATGTCGGCAATTGTCTCGAAATGTGTTCAACACTTCCGGAATGTATGCAATAAATGAATGAATTTCTCGGCAGTCAATGGTCTGTATTTTTGGACACTTTATGGCAATTGTGGCCAACATTTTGATGTCAATTGTCTTCTCATTGAATAATCTATAAATGAATCGCCCGTTAAGAGTGATGTCCACAACACTCTCGAAGATTGTCCTCTGGAACTGTTTGGACACACATTCGCATCGAAACCGGTCTTCGAGTGAGAGATAAGACAATAATAGTTGACACAAATCATCACCGAATCTGTCCATTGAGTTCTTCGCGTAAATGTTTGGCTAAAATGAGAGACAAAAACAGTTTAAACTCAATAAACAGTCAATTGTTTGTCAAATACCTGTTGAGACATATCTTGGGATCAAATGAAGTGATTGTATGAAAGAGTGATTCAAATCGTAAATAAATGTCAATAACTTTTTGAGTCACTTTTGATTCGACCATTAATTACGTCTTTAATATATAATTTGCCCCAAAGGGTAAAGTGCAATGTTAATGGGTGCTGGGCCACAAATTTTACATTGAAAAATTTTATTTTTTTTATATTTGCGAAATTAATTATCATCGTAAGCATAATTAAAATTGATATAACTGATGTTCAGTAATGACGTTATTTATTATAAAAAACGTACATAACTGATACTAAATTTCTTAAT